ATACATCTATATATATATATATAAAAAACTTGGACTCCTTTTTTGTCTGGAATGTATTACAATTTCTCTCTTGCCATTTTTGTGTAAAATTTACAGAATCAATCTTACATCCTGCTTTCCAAAGGTAATGTGCCATTACTATAAGGCTGTGCTTATCTGCTTAGTATGTTGTTGATTTTTTTTAAAGAAACTATACGTTTTTTTTCATGTAAAAAAAAATGCGTTCACAACTTTCTCGTCGTAACTGTGATTTGGGTCGAGGTGGCGGGAGAGGGAAGTGGGGTGGGGGGAAGCGGGAGAGAGAGGGAAGTGTGAAGATCTATAGCTACTTGTGATTTTTTTTTCTCTGCCGTCTAACAATAAGCTACAAGAAAGGGGGAAGGAAAGGACGTGGGGCAATCAAGTGCTGATTTTTACCAATCTAACGTACTTAGAGATACAGGACTGGTAACGTAACATACATACCCTATGGTACAGTGTCATTAAACCTATTTCGCCCACAAAATACACAGTCAGTTCACTATTACAGTATATTCTGTGAAGCCCTTTGAGACGTCTCGACGACGTGATCAGGCGCTATGTCAAATGCAACGATTATTATTATTTTTAAACGCCTTTAACAGCTGATACGCAGTTGTCGGAGAACAGGAGGTGGGGGCGAGAGAACGTAACTGTTGGGCTCAGTAGCATTTTAGCTTCACTGGGGACCCACAATTGACTCAACACATGATAGTTTTACTGGGTGTCCAACCTTGACTCCTTTACCCAAGGCACGGGACCCATACTTGACTCCTGTATTGCTTGTACAAGATTGGTAAAAGTCTGGTATTTATTGCAAACTGTCGCTAATTTGGTGCACTTATATTAATGATTTTTTTTTCTGCTTAAAGAAACTTTCTACCATTCTTGAGTGTTCAATGATCTGTTTAATTGTCCCCACCCGCAGAGGTGAATGCGTTCTCTGTATAAAAAATTATTCTCTTGAAATTATGTTACCGTAGTTAAGGCAAGCCAGCTGTGCTTTTGAAGACCGGATTTTATCTGTGGTTTGTTAGGTTTAGATATTTAATGAACAGACCACAGACACAGAAACTTCACCACAAGAGCATATGGAGGTTGATTCAATATGTTTCTCCCCCCCCACACACACACACACACACGCACTCAGTGCAATCACAAGACCAGAAGCAATTGTGTTAAATTCATCAGTTTAGGTCCAATGCCTTGCAGCTATCAGATGCGAATCCACTATCTCGTGTCATGAGAGGTGTTAATGATACATTTTGTTCCACTGACACACATTTAAAATTTGCGGAAACCAATTGCAGTGCGGAGGAAGGACCAGAGAAGCCGGGATTGTTCTCCTTAGAGCAGAGAAGGTTAAGGGGAGATTTAATCGAGGCTGAGTTAGGCTCTGTTAAGCTACTCTGCGTGGAAGGCACTATATAAGTGCAAGCTGTGGTTATCGTATGAGGTTTTTTTGATAAGAGTAAATTAAGGAGAAACTGTTTCCTCTGGCAACCAGAGGACACAGCTTTAAGATAATTGGCAAAAGAACCAGAGGGGAGACCAGGAGAATTTTTTTTTTCGCAGCGAGTTGTTACGGTCCGGAACGCGCTGCCCGAAAGGGCGGTGGAAGCAGATTCAATAGTAGCTTTCAAAGGGGAATTGGATAGGGACTTGAAAAGGAACAACTTGCAAGGGTTATGGGGTGAGAGCGGGGGAGCGGGTCTCTGATTGTTTGAGAGCCTGAGTTCTAGTTGAGTGTTTGTCCAAGGTTTCCATTGATGTGAAAGGATTGCTCTGCGGGTTTTCTGTTCCAATTGCCTGATGTGTCAGCTCCTGATCCTATTTCAAAATCTCTGCTTAAAATCTAAGTAACAGTGACTACATTATATGGAGCCCTTAATCAGGTGGTCGCAGTCTTAACAAGAGCTGTCACTCTCACAAATAAGTAAAACGGGTCTTGGCTCATTACTTTAACACACTCATAAACTTCTTCTCGCTTTGTTACCTTGCAAGAGAACAAAACACAAGGCATTTATAAAGACGTGCCCCGAAATACCAGACTAACTGCGGAAAATGTACTTCGGAATGGATGAGTGGGTGGAGATGGATTCCTTCAGTTACAGCAGCTCTGGATTAGAGTGTGTGACTTTGCTCCTGTACTTCACTTAAGACAGCTCCGCAATCACTGCTGTGCTAATGAAGTCAATGCTAACAAGCCATCCTGTTTTAACCTGTGGCGTCCTGTAGCTCAGCGGTTAGAGCACTTGCAAGCGTGAGGACCTGGGTTCGGTTCCCGGCCGGGGTAACACCTTGGGCAAGTTTCCTTACTCCACAAGCCTGATAGTACTACCTTAAGAAAAGAAAATAATAATAATTATAATTTGGTCACTCAATCCACGACTGTTTGTGGGGACGCTGCTGCATTTCACCCACAAAATAGACAGTCAATTCACTTTACAGTTATATTCTGTGAAGCGCTTTGAGACGTCTCGAAGACGTGAATCAGTTGCAAGGATTATTATTATATAACCTCCCCGGCGTTTTCCCCTTTCGAATGCGTGTCCTGAGGTGGTAACAATTTCCAGGATGTTTTGGTCGCAGTGCAGGGCGGTCGCATTAAGGAGAACGTATGATCCGATAATTCCGATCTACCAGTTGGGAAGCCGAGCTTCGTTAACAGCTCGGTTCAAAACTATTCCGAGCCGCTCCGAGCTCAGTGCAGAGTCGGATTTCCTGTTCAATGTGACTTTGCCCGTTTGCAGCATCTTGCCCGTTTGTGGGGTCCGAAATGTGACTGTGTATGCGATGCTCCTCACAGCTCCACAGTCCAGAGGGTTTCTCACTAAAAGCCTCTCCTCCCCCCCCCCCCCCCCCCCCGAAATCATAAATACCTGTGACTTACTTACGGATCGGGATAAATCAACAGAGGCAAACACTTCAGTTCTGCATCTATTTCCGGCAAAGTGCGATTTCAGCCTCACAGTTTGATTTAATGAATGAATAACATTTATTAAATAATTGTTTACCGGCAGTAATTTGGAATCCGGTTGTTAGTCGACTGGAGGATCGCTTTTCCGAGGGTAATGATTGCTTGTTACCCCCACGACAATTTGTGGGACACCACTGTGCGCAATTGGCTGCCGTGTTTCGCCCACAAAACACAAAGTAACTCCACTTTGGAATACATCCTGTGAGGCCCTTTGAGACGTCACAACGACTTGATAAGGCGCCGTATCAAATGCAAGGATTATTATTATTATTTTCAACTTGCCGTTTCACCTTCGATCACAATAGAATTCAGTTGACAGAAGTCAATGCAGGACTGAGTGTGAGGTGTTTTTTTATGGCTGCCCACCAGAAAAAAATATTTCGTTTAGAAATACTTAGAAAAAATATTTAATTGTAAAATGTAGCACGGAAACCTGCGATCCGCTAAATGTTTGAGCCTTGTAAATCTTGCGTCTGCTCCTTTTAGAAAGGACGTGATGAGGATTTTATGCGATAGATTTAATGGGAGGGTTCAATTAATTAAAAATACTATTTTTTTTTGCCCGCTGTCGAAAACGATTAATGTTAAATAATGGCCCGACTGAAAGGCCCTGATTCGGTACATCGCTGTGCCAGACAACTGCAATGCTTTCTTTCCTGTCAAACGAAACTTGGACATCTGGTTCAGAAAGATAACAAGAACTGGGGCTGAATGAATCGGAAAACACCAGTAGCGGGGTGTGCGGTGGGGGGGTGGCGGGGGAAGGAAAGGTGTGACATTATGGGGCTGTTCAGGTGGACTGCAACGGGGTTGTCCATTGCTGCATCGGGTCATTTTTAGCTTGAAAAGGACGGGAAAGGTTCAGAGCAGAGCAACCAGGATGATCGTCTTGACGTTGAGGGTCCCGGAGCTAGTTGTGTTCTCAGCAGGAAAGAATGGAGGACAAGGGCGGGTCAGGGCAGAAACGATGGGCAGGTTTCCTTACTCCACACGGCTTTGTGGAAGGAAGAGAAGCCGGCGTTGGGGTGGGGTAGTGGTGATGCGGGAGTGGACGATTATTGTCGAGTGGTTTCTTATTGACCTGGCTCTCGTGACTGACCTGTTGTTTGTGGGTGGGGATAAGGGGAGAGCGAGAGAGAGAGACACTCGGGAATCTACAGATGTGCCAACAGGAAACGAAAGGTTGATATCCTTGGGGTTTTGTTAATAAGCCGGTGCTGGGTAAACTGTATCTTTAACTCACACACTGCCAAATGGGTGAAGACATCACCTAACCCTAACCCTTTATTGTGGCAAGATGTCTTTTGGTTAAAGTGCGGGTGGAAAATACAGATAATTCATAATCTTACCCGCCCCGCGCCGCCACAGGAACAGGAGGAGGCCATTCAGCCCCTCGAGCCTGTTCCGCCATTCTATTCGATCATGGTTGATCTGTACCTCAACTCCGATTACTCGCCTTTGCCCCATATGCCTTGATACCCTGACCTGACAAGAACCTTATCCACCTCAGTCTTGGAAAGTTTGAATGGATCAAGTTATAATCCACAGCCTTTTTGGGGGGAGAGAGTCCCAGATTCCCTCCCTTTTTAAAAAAAAATGCCGTTTAAATCGATTCGACCTCTACAGCATTCTGAGCAGTCGGGGACCCAATAAAAAAAACAAAAGGTTTCCTGTTTGACATCTAACCTATTTGGCTCTGATTTCGATGGGGAGAAGAAGTTATTGGCTTAAGTGTAGAGAGAGAGAGAGAGACATTGCGGGTTAAACACTACAATCAATCCACCAAATTCAGTAAGAGTGTGTGTGACTGTATAAATTTTGCGGTGCAATTTATCGGTCTAATTTTTTTTTCTCTTTTTTTTATTTCCCCCACCCCCCCCCCCCACCGCCTTCCCCCCCAAATCCGCGACACTACCAAAAAAAACATCCTGAAATCCCATCACCTTTCCCATTCCTTTTCAAAACACCGCCCTGTTCAATGGGACGCTTCTCAATGGAACAGCACTACAAAGCCAGCACCTCACCTGGACAGGTAAGACTATTTTCATTTATCTCTGCTTCCCCCACCCCACTCGAGGAATTGTCAACTCTTAATGGCCTTCGGGAATAATTCTGGGCTCACAAAATAATCTCCGCATTTTTCCCCCCCCACCTGCAAAGAGTTCTCCAATATACCTAGAGAACACATATATATATATATATATATATAAAGAGAGGTCCTTTATTTTGTGGTGACTCTTAACAGGAGAAACACAATTTGTCGGAGTGGAAATTTTGCAAATTTAGCCACAACAACTCATTTCTATGATAACAACAAGAAGTTACGTTGAGAGGACGTCCCAAGTCGCTGGACAGTCAGGGATTTGGACCTGAAATAAGGAGGGGTGGAGGTGCAGGGAGCGTAGGAGGGTGACTGAAGCCACCGTCGAGAAGGAGGGTCTTGAGACGGGTCTTGAAGCAGGCGAGGGATGGAGCGAGGCAAAGGGACTGTGGTATGGAATTCCAAAGAATGGGGAAAAGAGAGGCTGAAGGCTCGATAGCCGATGGTGGGGGCGGACCGGAAGGGGGGACATGGAGCAGGCCGGAGCCCTCTGAGCGGAAGGAGCGTACAGGAGTTAGCAGGCCACAGAGGTAGGGAGGAGCAAGGCAGTGGAGGGCTTTGAAGGCATGGACTAGGATTTTGAACTCTATCCTCTGGGGGATGGTGAACCAGTGGAGCCGGGCGAGGATATATAGTCAAATTAAATGACATTGCTCTGCGGATAAATGGGACTTGATCTTTAAAAGAGATACGATGGGTTGGTTGGCCTTCTTCTGTGCTTTAATATCGAGGTCCCGTCTGCTTGTTAAAGATCTCATGATACAATTCAAAGTTTCTCCTATGTGCTGGCCAGCAAATCCCACCGGAGAGAAAAGAAATTGACCATTCACCTCGTAACTGTTTGTTGGGCTTTGCCGTGGGCAAAATTGGCTGGTGCACTTGCCTACAAAATACGCAGTCAATATGCTTTACGGGACGTGGAGAGACTTAGTGTGATGAGGTGCGATATCAAAGCAAGGATTACAGTGTTTTTATTGCAGTGTTAACACTTTTCAGAATGGAGTCTTTGTGAAAGATAGATGTACTTGCTGTTGTTATGATGTTCAGTGCAATTTGAATGCAGGATTCAGGATCAGAAACCATGGCCCACGTGTTCTAATTAGGCCATCGGCAGCAAAGAACACGTAACCTAGTTGAAGCGTGAAGGTGGTACATGTTGAATAGTAAATGATTTGAACTGCGGTGTGTTGACTCTCAGGAGAATTAACTTGCCAGATAATGCTCATAGAGACCAATTAATCTTGTTCTTCGCTGACTTGATGCTAACACGCTATCCAATCTGTTTACCATGGTTGTCTAACATACGGAGTCCCTAGCATAGTGGTGAGAGCGCTCGCCTCACAAGCTAGAGGACCTGGGTTCGATTCCCGGTCAGGAGGCAAGTTTCCTTAGTCCACACTCTTGTTTGCCCAGCATTAAGTAGGGACCCAGTTGTTAGGCGATTAGCGGATCGCTTTCCTGGGGGTAATAATCCCTCCGAAAAATAATAAGAATTTGGTCACTCAATCCACGAATGTGTGTGAGACAGAGACACTGCGCAAGTGGTTGCCGCGTTTCGCCTCCAAAATACACAGTCAATCCACTTTCCAAAAGATTCCATTCCAACGATGTGATAAGGCAAGGATTATTATTATTATTAACATGGAGCCCCAGTCATAGAATATCACAGCACAGAAGGAGGCCATTCGGCCCATCGTGCCTGTGCCAGCTCTTTGAAGGAGTCACCTAGTCAGTCCCAATCACCCCCCCCCCCCCCCCCCCCCCATATACCCCTGCAAAGTTTTTCCATTCAAGTACCTATCCAATTCACTTTTTGAAAGCTGTTGTCGAATCCAATCGTCTTGTGTTGCGGGTTTCTGTGTTGGTACAGAGTACACGTCGTTTTCGGACAAGTGATAACAGGCTTCGAGGTGATCAAGGAAATCGAAGACTTGAAGACCGATGCTGCCAGCCGCCCCTATGCTGACGTCAGGACCATTGACTGTGGACAATTTGTACCCAAATCCGCGAGCAACGGTGAGTGTTGCTGTGTTTCGTGAGTTTGCTTTGGTTTTGGGAAGGGGAAAAGTGCTACCTCTTCAATGTATATTTTTTTCTTCTTCTTCCTTCTCTTCTTCCTTTCTCTTCTCTTTTCTTTTCTTCCTCCCTCCCTCCCTCCGCCAACTGTCCACCTTCTTAGGTTGCCATGCACCATTTCCCAGCCAGGAGAGTGGGCAGGTGACCTTCTTCCAACCCTCTGCCAATGACACTTTAGATCCAGATGAGAGGAGATGCACAAGAACATCCCAAGGTGATGAACCTTTGTTGTCGCTCCTTGTCTGGTGAATGTGTGGTGTGGGTGTGTGAGAGAGAGAGAGAAAGAGAGAGGACCATTGATTTGCCTCCACGTGGCAACCAATTTCACTGATCCGCTGGAGCATAAGCACATAATCTATGATCCCTGTTATCCAGTCGTTGTGTTCCTACGTCCCTCACCACTAGAACTCCCTCCTTCCCTCCTGTCACTTTGCTTCGCCCTCTTTCTGTCTTTAACTTCTGCCTCAAATCCTACCTCTTTGAATAGACCTCCCTGGATGTTGCTCAAATCCGGCCTCCAGCCCTTGGCAGCCAAAAGGTTGCCCACACGCTCTCCAATGTGAAGGTGCTGTATATCTTTTTCCCCCTCCCTCCGCGCTCCGCCCCCACCCCCCAGCTCGGCCGAGGTATCCTCCCGACACGAAAGGCACCGTGTTATCAGTGGTGAGCGGTCTAGCGGTGCGGGGGCTTTGCCGTGCAAGATGTTTGGCGACACGGGTTGACTGTGTTACTTTACGGTGCCTTTCAGTGGCGGAGCGCAAAAAGAAGACCGCCGCCCGCTCCTCTTCGCCCGAATCAGCCCCCACCACCTCCTCCGACTCCGACTCCGACACCTCCCCCGAGTCCTCGGACTCACAGAGCGAGACCGAAGACGAGAGATCCCGCAGGAGAAAGCGGAAAAGGCGGGTGAAAAGCCGTCACGCCAAGAGACGGAGGGAAAGTAAAGCCAAGAGGAGAAGAGTGTCTTCCGGCAGGAAGAGGTGCATTTCTCATTTTTTCTTATAATAATAATATAATAATAATAATTCTTGCGTTTGATACAGCGCCTTATCAGGTAATTGAAGCGTCTCAAAGCGCTTCACAGGACACGCTGTAAAGTGCATACAGACTGCCTTTTGTGGGCGAAAGGCGGCAGCCAATTGTGCACAGCAGCGTCCCCACAAACAGCCGTGGATTGAGTGAATAATTTTTTTTGGAGGGATTATTATGCCCGGAAAAGCCATTCGCCTAAATAACCCATCTTCCTACCGAACTGCTTGGTAAACAGAAGCTTGTGGAGTAAGGGGTAAGGTTTTCGCCCTGCCCGGGATTCGAACCCAGGTCCTCTGGCTTGCGAGGCGAGTGCGCGTTGGTTTCAAGTCCCTATCCAATTCCCTTTTGAGAGTTGTTATGGATAGAATCGTCTTAACCACCCGCAGTGGGTGAAGGGGGAAGGGCGGAAGAAAGTTATCAAAGGTGAATTGCTCCGAATTACGCTTGTCTTTTACGCCCCCCCCCCAAAAAAAATTCTTCTTCTTCGCCCTCTTTCGCCCTCCGCTCCATGCCCGCCACCCCTCCTGATCCCAACCCCCCGGCTCGGGTCAAAATCCTTGACTGTCCAGCGCCTTGGGACGTCCTCCCGATGTGGGAGGCGCTGAACAAACGTAATACTAATAATGATGATAATAATAATCCTGGCATTTGTCACAGCACCTTATCACGTCTTCGAGACCTCTCAAAGCGCTTCACGGGATGTAATGTGAAGTGTAGTGTCTGTGTTTTCTGTAAGTTAGACTCTCTGATCAAAACAGTACGTTCCACGAGCCGTAGGTGGCGATGAATTTTATACAGCGCTTACGGAGCTGAAATATCTCAAAGCACTTAATGGAATTGTCCGTAAGACGCCGTGTCTGTGCATTTGTAGGTGAACGCAGCAGCGTATTTGCACGCCCCAATGTCCCGCAGCCATGAAGTAAACGACCAAGTAATCTGGGGAATTTGTCTGAATAATGTCGGCCGGTACAAATTAGCTGCCGCACTTGCCGGCAGAACATTCATTTCGTTCCTAGTTAATTTCATCCTGTGATAGCGCTTTGAGGCGTTTCTTTCACTGGAAAGGCACTGTGTGAAAAGGAGGTCGTTCAAGCTGATGAGCCTTACAGGCTGGTTAGGCCGACTTGGGAGACAGTTGAAGGACTAAACACACGGTCCTCTTCGACTGTGCTTACGGCCACCTCCCCCCCCCCCCCCCGGCTTGGAGTCAGGCTCCGACAAACAGGCGTTGATTGAGTGACCAAATTATTTTTATTTATCTTGAAGCGACCGGGTTCCTGCTTCTTGCTAGGTGTGTGTGTGTGTGTGTGTGTGTGTGCGTGTGGAGAAGCGTTTGGGGGAAGGAAACTTGCCCAAGGTTTCGCCCTGCCCGGGAATCGAATCCGGGTCCTCTCGGTTGCGAGGCCGGAGCTCTAGCCACCAGGCTGTGGGGGTTTACGGTTTAACTTAGTTGATCCTTATTTTCCAAGCAGCACCCACAATGGAGTGGACCAGGACCTTGAGAAGGAAAAAGAGTCACTCACGAAACGACAGAAGCTATTAGTTCGACCCGAAGAGATCCCCCCTGTCCCCGAGAATAGATTTCTTCTCCGACGTGATCTACCCAAACCAGCTGCTGAACTGTGAGTGAGCTGTACATCCCCGGGTTAAACCAATTTGTCTTTTAAGGTGTAATCCCTCATCCTCGTACCCTCTTTACTCATCTTCAGATATTCCTCTTCGATTCAAGTTCACAGTCTCCGGCAAAGTGAAGCACGTGAATGGCCGAGCTGCGTGTGGGTTTTAGCTGGTTAGACTCCAGCAGTTACTCCCAACACACACTCTGGGCTCCCCCCCAACCCACCCCACCCCACCCCACCCCACAAGCCTTGGCTCTCGCCAACCTGCGCCTAATACTCTCCGGAATTAGGTAAGCGGGGGGCGTCCCTCCAGGGAGAGAGAGAGAGAGCGCATTCCATTCCAACAATCTCTCTCTGGGATTTCCACGTGTAGGTGGGAGGCGGGGAGTTCTCAGTTGGGTTTGGATGGTCTCGAGCGACGGTGATGGGTTTCTACGTGTGTCAGACGTAGAATTTCAGAATTTTTTTTTTCGGTCTGAATTTCTGAGGGTTTTTCTTTCGTTTGCAGGAAGGTTCAGGAAATACCGCTTGTTCTCAATGAGCAGAAGCCAGCGGTGTCAAAATCCGGCCGTAAAATTAAAGGCAGAGGCACAATGGTACGTATTTACGGCTTTTAGTCCTGGAGCTCAATGGTTGGAGCGCTCGCCTCGCAAGCGAGAGGGCCCGGGTTCGATTCCCTGGTGGGGCGAAAGCTCAGGCAAGTTTCCTTATTCAACACGCGCGCCTCTGTTTACCAGCAGTCAGTAGGAACCCGGTTGTTAGTCGATTGGCGGGTTAATAATTAGTAATAATTGTTTAAAAAAAAATGCTCAATCCACGGCTGTTGGTGGGGACGCTGCTGTGCGCGATTGGCTGCCGCGTTTCGCCCGCAAAATATATAAAATATACTCTTTACTGCGAAGCGCATTGAGACGTCTCGAAGCCGCGATAAGGCCTTATGTGAAATGCAAGGGGCTATTATTATTAATATTTGTGGGTAACAGTGTGCGAAAGAGGCAGCCTGACCAGGTAGGAGCCGAGCGATTGCAGGTCCAAAGGATTCTAACGATCGTGCCTCTCTCTCTCTCCCGCTCTCTCTCTCTCTCCTCTCCCCGGCTCAGCGATACCGCACTCCTTCACGCACCAGAAGCCATTCGGAGTCGGAACCAGAAGAAGAGAGTAGCGAAACACCGCCTCACTGGAAAGAGGAAATGCAGCGCGTGAGGACGTACAGAGCTTCCAGCGTCGACAAATGGACCAAAGGAGACAAGTACGGAACCTTCTGCCTCGTAGCCCTCGCGCCCTCCGTTTCCACCGCTGATGCTTTTAGCCGCTTCGCAGCCCGAAACTCTGGAACCCTCCCAATCCCTCCGCTTTGCCCCCTTCCCGCCTTCAAATCGCGCCTAAAGGCCTTCCTTTTTGACGGTGTTTACAGTCACCCCCTCTCTCCCCACCCCACCCACCCCACGCTCCCGGGAGCTGCCCCTGCGTGAAGTTGTTAACCGAGGAATAATTCCTTTCCCCCTCCCATCCCTCACTCCCCACCCCCGGCAGATTGAGATCTTACTCCGACCGGTGGGACGAGCGAAGCCTTTCACCCTGGTCAAGATCCTGGTCACACGACGGCTACTACTCGGAGGATCAGAGCGCGGCCAAATCCAGGCACCCTGGGAAGCCAAAGAAGGAGAAGAAGAAAAGCAAGACGAAGAGGAAATCGAAGAAACAGAAACGAGCCAAGAGGCCCAAAGCCGGCAAGGAGAAGGCCAAGGTAGCCACCATACCTGCCGAGGTGGACTCGTCCCACTCCTCCAGTTTGGTGTCGGGCCATCGCGCCAAAAGTAATCCATCTTCGTCTTCCTCGAGGGAGTGGTCGGGATCCTCCAGCCCGCGATCCTCCTCAGCCGCCACCGTCTCCTGTTCCAGATCCAAATCCAAATCCGGGTCCCGGTCCAAGGAGAGGTCGAGGTCGAGGTGTCGACCGAGGGCCAGGTCTCGCTCCAAGTCCAGGTCTCGCTCCAAGTCCAGGTCTCGGTCTCGCTCCAAGTCCAGGTCTCGCTCTCGTTCCAAGTCCAGGTCTCGCACCAGGTCTCGGTCCCGGTCCCAATCGAGCTCCAGCTCCACCTCGTCCAGAAGCAGGTCCGCCTCCCGGTCCAGGTCCAGGTCCAGCTCCACGTCCAGGTACGGACGCAGCGCGTCGCCCGGACACGCCAGGTCGCGCCGCAGGAATCGGGGCCGCGGGAAGCCGGAGGCGGCCTCGAAGGGGAGCGAGAAGGCGGAGGCTCGGGGAGGGGGCGGGGGAGGGGCGGTCGCGAAGGCGGCGGAATCCGCGGGCGCGGTGCCTTTGAGCGAGAGCCCGCCCCCCTCGCGCTGGAGACCGGGGCAGAAGCCCTGGAAACCCTCCTACGTGCGGCTGCTGGAAGCCCAGGCCAAGCTGAGCGAGGCCACGCCAACAGCCAGCAGCCAGGACTCCCGAGACCACCGTCGCCACCGGCTCCGTTCCCTCTCCTCGGACCATCGGCCCAAAGATTCCGACGGCCGGCGCCGCTACCCCTCGGGCCGCGACACCGACCGCAGTTCCAGCTCGGACTACCGGAAGAGCTCGAGGAGCAGAGAGCTCAGCTCCCTCTCCAGGAGCCGCTCGCGCTCGGCCTCGAGGAGCAGTTCCCGGTCCCGGACGCCCGGCAAGTCCCAGTGTCGCCGGGAGAACTCCTCCTCCTCCTCCTCCAAGTCATCCAGTCGCTCGGAGTCCGAGGAGGAGGAGGAGGAGGGGCTGGCGCACAGCGAGGACGATCAGCCTGGCGTTCGCAGGAACAGGAGCTCGGAGCCTCGGAAACGCGTTAAAGACCCAACTCCGATCCCTGAACCCGAACCTGAACCTGCGGCCAAGGGGGGCGACGGGAAGCAGCGAGGGAAGAATAAGCAAACCCCGGGGGCCTCGTCGGATTGTTCCAGCCGAGGCGACCGAGAGAGGGGGAGGGAGGCGGGAGAATCCCAGAGGACGAGCAACAGGCCGAGCCCTCAGCCCGATAGGCGCGAGAAGAAGGGGAAGAAGAGCGAGCGCCGAGGGGACGGAGTGTCCGACAGGGACCCCGTCGCCAGAGAGGGACCCCCGGAGGCCAAGGTCACGGCACCTCCCAGCCGGCCAGCTCCCCCGCGGCCTGACAGGCCCACCACCGCGAGGGACGAGCCGAGCGTCCCGCCCGCAGAGCTCAGCCGCGAGGGCAAAGGGGGGACGGCCTCGAAGAGGAGCCACAAGCGGAGCAGGTCACCGAGCGAGACCGAGGCCGAGAGGGGGAGGGAGAGAGAGGGCGGCAAGAGCAGCAAAGCGAAGACCGGGTCCGGCGGCGAGGAGGAGGAGGAGGAGGGAGAGGTTGCGCAGAAAGCAGTGGGAGTAGTACAGGCCGAGCGAGGGTGTCCCGCCAAGCGACCCAGGTCCCAGCCCCGGTCGCCCACCCCCAGCTCATCCCCGGCCTCCTCCGCCTCTGACTCCGAGAGCCGGAAGTCCACGGCCCACGGCAGCTCGGAGGAGTCGGGCGTCTCCGGGAGCGAGGGGGCGAGGAAGCGGCGGAGGAGGAGGAGGAGGAGGAGGAAGAAGCTGAGACGCAAGGTCAAGAGGAAGAAGAGGTCCAAGTCACAGGGCGGCAAGGTGAGGAAGAGCAGCGAGAAGAGGAAGAAGAAGAAGAAGAAGGACAAGAAGGTGGAGAGGCTGAAGGAGAGGTTTCACTGGCAGCCGCCCCTGGAGTTCGGAGAGGAGGACGAGGAGGAGGTGAAGGTGAAGGCCGAGGGCAAGGGTAAAGGTGGAGGTGCAGCCGCGAGGAGTAAAGCCGAGAGCATCGTGGCCAATTCTTCGCCGGATCACGAGCCCCCGAGCCAGGAGAACGCCCGCCCTCCCGAGACCCCCAAGGGCAGCAGCTCGGGGCTAAAGCGGGGTCCGGCGTCGCCCCGCGCGGCCCCCAGCAAACCCGAACCCCCCCAGAAAGGGGCGGACAAGAGGAAGTCCCCCCAGCAGGGCCCCAAGCTCCCGCCGAGCCTGGAGAGGAGCAGCCCCCCACCACCGCCGCCACCGCCCAGCACCCCCGCCAGCACGACCACGGCCACCACCCCCCCAGTGGCCCCCGGCCGCGGCCAGCGGGAGGCGTTCCCGGGAACGCCGGCCGGGTCTGGGGTCCAGGAGGTCAAACGCGGCAAGAACCAGCAGGAGGTGGGCCAGGCTCCCCAACCGCAGGACGTGAACGGAGCCGTGGCGGAGACCGAGCTCAAGGCCAAAGGCAAAGAGGGCCCGGAGGCAGCCGACAGCGGCAAGTGGAAGCCCCTGAAGGGTCTCCCGGCCCCGGCCCTGGCCCTGGCCGGAGCCCCAGCCGCAGCCGGTGCCGGAGCGAGAGGCAGCCCCAAAGTGGTGGCCGAGACCAAGACCGAGGCCTCCCAGGCCGATCAGAAGCCCCCGGGGCTGAAGATCGAGATCAAGAGCAAGCGCCGGGTCAAGCCGGGCTCGCTGTTCGACGAGGTGCGGAGGACGGCCCGACTGAACCAGCGGCAGAGGAATCGGGAGAGCTCCTCCAGCGAGGAGGGCTTCCCCTCCAGGGACGGCAAGCGCAGGTCCAGCAGCCGCAGCACGTCCCGCGGGCACTACCGCTCCACCTCCCGCGACGCCAGCCATTCCCGCACACGCTCCCGGTCCTTCAGCCAATCCAGGAGCCGCTCGCGGAGTTACAGCTCGTCGTCCAGGTGGGTTCTCTCTCTCCGTGCTGTGTGTGCGAGTCTGAGCTCACAGTCCAGGCTGACACGGACATTGGCCAATGCTAATAACAATTAGTACCGATTATGGCTAATAATAATAATAATAGTAATAATAATAATCACGCGTCTATACTATAGGACCACGGAGCTGTCTCGAAGCTTGGCAGAATGTACTGTCACGTGGATTTGTGTGGGATTTTTTTTTTCGGATGGGTTTAGGACATATTTAGATTTTTATTCGCTTCGACGTTGGGTTTCGTATTCTTTGTTAACTTTGAACGTTTTGATGCACTTTTAAATCCTTTTTTTATTTTAAATTCGCTTTTTCGAACGTTAGGTCCGGGGTTGTGGGTTCAATACGTAATAATAATATTAATAATATTAATAATCCTGGCATTTGACCCAACGCCTTATCAGGCTGTTGAGACGTCTCAAAGCGCTTCACGGGTTACACTGTAAGGTGAATTGACTGTGTATTTTGTGGGCGAAACGCGGCAGCCGATTGCGCACAGCGACGTCCCCCACAAAGAGAGAGGACCCGGGTTGCTTCGGGGGCGAAACCTTAGGCCCGTTTCCTTACTATGTGTACCTAGCGGTAAGCCGGAATGGTCACTCAACCCACGACTGTTTGAGGGACACAGCTGCCCGCAACCTTCTGACTCGGAAACGAGAGCGTTACCGCTGAGCCAGGCCGTTTCCAAGTTCTGTACGATGTTTACGCCGTCCGCTGGTTAAAACTGCAGGAGGGGATAGGAAACGGAGGGGGCCACTGAGTTTATTAAATCGCGGTAAATCCTTTAATCCCATTTCCCCTCCCTTTCTCCATACTTAATGCCCTTACAGTAAGTCAGGTCTAGATGAGATCAGCTAATTTTGTCAGGCGTCTGTAAGTCAACTAAGTTTAATTAATTACCAACACGCTTCCCTGGAGAATAGTTTTCTTTCCGCTGTGGGGAGGAGGGAGAGAGGGAATGTATTCCAGACAAGCAGTTCAGATGGTAAACTTTCATCCTCGTATTTGATGGAGCGCCTTGTGACATCGTTGAGTGTAGTGACTGGGTGTTTTGTGGGCCGGGAGCAGCAGCCAAGTGCGCACAGCAGCATCCCACACCGTCCTGGATTGAAAGTGACCAATTTATTTATTATTGTTTTTTGTGGCTGTGGGTTAATTTGCAGATCACGCAGTTACAGCAGAAGCCGCAGCAGAAGAAGGTACAGCAGGGATCACTCGAGAAGCCACAGCAGCTCTTACAGGAGTTACAGAAGCCATAGGTAATAACAACAACAATAATAATCATCATCATCATCATCATCATCATGCTTGTCACTGATCCAGTGCTTCTTATTCTGGCAATCCACCTCGTGAGGGGGTTCATGTCCGCGCTTGTCAAACGCCAACTCGCTCTGTGCTCCATGGTCCAGGAGCGTCGTCCTGAGCAAAACAACATCCACAACTTGCACTTATATAGCGCCCTCCACACAGGGCAGCGTCTCAGAGCGCTTAACAGTGGCGGAGCCTGGATAAAGCACTGGATCAAATGAAAGAACTATTTATTGGCTGTTTCCTCTTATTTTCTCCTCTCATTCCCACCCCCGATAGCCTTTTATAGCATCCAGATATTGGTCTGATATACTGTATGTACATTCCCTACCAAATTGGTTAATTTACATTGTTTAAATATGTAGTGACTTGTTTATTAAGTAGCTTGACCTCCATACTGAACACTCGCTCGCTCGCTTTTTGATGAGATGTTGGAAAGTATTTTTTCCCACGATGTTGCGTTCTGCTGGAGTTCGCCCGAACAAGATTAATTAAGCCGATCGTGAGCAGCTCGGCTTCCTGCGTTAGGTACCAGATCCTCTTCAGAGCTTTACTACATATTCATCCCCTCCTCGCCACAGCCACCATCTGATCGCAGGAGCTATTTATTCACTGTTTATTCTTAGCTGACTTGGCGCTGAGTGTAGAGCAGAAAAATGTTCCTTCTGTTGGCTGCAATACGTAGCATTGAATGGACCAGGATTTTTTTTCTCCCAACTGTCTGGAGACAGTTAAATGCTGGAATTGCATTGATTCACACTGGCAGGAGAAGTGGAAAGAGTTTCTAACTCTAGGTGTCGGCCTGGCTCTCGCCTCTGAGTCAGGAGGCTATAATAATAATAATAATCCTTGCATTTGATATAGCGCCTGATCACGCCATTGAGACGCCTCAAAGCGCTTCACAGAATATACTGTAAAGTGTGTATTTTGGGGGCGCACAACAGGGCCCACAAACAGTCGTGGATTGAGTGATTGGGTTTTGTTTTTGAAGGGATTATTACCCCCAGAAAGCGATCCACCAATCGACTAACAACCGGGTTCCTACTGACTGCGGTAAACAGAGGCGCGTGTGTGTGTGGGTGTGTGTGTGTGTGTGTGTGTGGAGTGAGGAAACTTGCCCAACATTTCGCCCTGACCTGCCCGGGAATCAAACCCGGGTCCTCTCGCCTGCGAGGCGAGGGCTCTAACCCCTGAGCTACAGGGACTCCAAAGTAAACAGTGGGTCTGAGCCACTTGCCAGGACTGACATTCCCAATGCCGTGCTCGTGGGGGGGAGAAGGGGGAGGAAATCACACCACATGGTGGCAGGTGCTGTCCTTTGGGTGAGGCATTAAGCAGATTGCGGTGGATGTTAATGAGAACCCCACAGTGCTATCCGACTCGTGTATCTACAGCACGTTAAAAACAAGCACTTTACCGAATAAGATTAATCAGAAGCGGAGTGAGTATCAAGGCAAACACGGTATCTAATTGACACCGGCAGCATCCCAGAAGGCTTGATCAGGGTTATTCCTTTAGCTCCCGTCTTTATCCATTCCCCCCACCCCAAACACCCCTCAGCAGCAAGCTACGCTCAGGTTATCAGCTGAGAGTCTGTGTTCACGAGCAAAACGTAGTCCCGGTCCGGGTTCCGTTGAGCCAGGAGGGGTCGCAGTATTCCAGGGTACTGATGACAGCTCAGCCCGGCCCGGCTTGGCTCATCAGCAGGACCTAGAGGGGCCGACTGGTCGCTGGGGACAGGAAATCCTCCCCCTCAGCTCCTGTTAACCCCGCAGCCAAAGCGGTACCTAACGGGGAGGGTGGCCCTCGCTGGACACGCAGCGGGAACGCTTGGCCAGGCAGTGAAGTTTGAAGCTTCATCCTTTCCGTGCCAGTGAAACTCCGCAGCCGGTTTAAGGCGCAAAATTCAATTAAATCTGATCCTGATCTGATTTCCTCAAAAAAAAAATGACTGCTTTGTGTCCCGCACAGAGAGAGAAAGAACCTGTAGTTCTTAGAGTGCCTTCTCACATCACTGCTGTCAAGTCTAGTGAGTCTTTTTTTGCAGGCAAGTGTTCACATTGCCAAGGCCATCTCTTGTGTTTAGCACAACCGTAGACAAGAGAGTTGTTAGGGTCTGGAATGCAGTGCCTGAAAGGCTGATTGAAACAGATTCAGTAACAACCTTCAGGGAAGTAGATAGGTACTTGTGAAGGAAGAAAATTGCAAGGATATGGGGAAAGAGCGGGGGAATGGGATTGATTGGGTAGCTCTTCCAAAGAGCCGACACAGGCACAATAGGCTAAAGAGAGCTCCTTCTGTGCAGTAATAATTCTATGTTACGATGGGGGTATCATAACCGATCGAGAAGCTTCTCCCGAAGATTGTTATTCTGTTATTTCACCTCCCCTCAATGGGAAATAGACATTCACCTTATTTAACATAATAATTATTATTATTAATGCATATTTGGTGATGTAAAAACAAACATAGTTCCTATAATCGTATTATTATAGTATAATATATATATATATATAAAATCAAAAATGGCTTTGACAAAATACCTGGTGAACAAAATATGAACCTCCTGCTATTTAGAATCGTAGCTATTTTAGGAAGCTCAAATATATCAAGGAAAGTAATAACCATTCATATGTAAAGTGACAGTGTTATTGGTCTGGCTGACCATGACTCAAAACCGTTACGAAATTACCTCTATAATTGTTATAGCACAATACTAATATAATACTAATAATATAACAACAATATTATAATAATATAATAATAATCCCTACACTTGATGTAGTTCCTTTCACTTCAGGAGGACTTCACAAGATTCAAAGTGCTTCACAAGATTTACTGTGAGGTGTAGTGACTGTGGGTTGTGTAGGCAAACAGCAATGGAGAGGACCCGGAGCCCGTATCCAGCCTTGGGTGGGGAGTCGGGGAGGTTGTGGGGGTGGGAGATGAGTCTAGGACAGTGAGGTGCAGTGGAGGCCTGTTCAATACAATACTAATTGACACAGCGTCTTTCATGTTGGGGGGACGTCCCAAGGCGCATAACAGTCCTGGCTTGGCACCCGAGCTGGGGGTGGGAGCTGAGGGTGGGTGGGGAGCAGAAGGATGACCGAAGGGGCAGTCAAAGAGGTAGGTCTTGACGAGGTCTTTGGAAGCGGTGAGTGAGGGAGGGGGCGAGTTGAAGAGAGTGGAGTTCCAGAGAATGAGGGAAGAAATGGCTGAAAGCCTGACTGCCGATGGTGGGGCTGGGTGGGGGGCATGAACAACAACAACAAATTATATTTACACGGCACGTTTCACGTCAGGAGGACATCCTAAGGCGCCGGACAGTTAAGGGTTTGCACCCGAACTGTGGGGTTGGAATCAAGAGGGTGGAGGGGAGGAGGAGTGCGGGTGGGAGGATGAGGAAGGTCAAAAAGGGAAGGTCTTGAGACGGGGCTTGAAGCGAGGGAGGGAGATGGATGGGGGGCGGTGGGGACGACACGGAGCAGGTCAAGCGGAGGGAGCGGGCGGACAGGCTGGTAGGGGGGGTGGGGGGTGAAGTGGTCGCGGAGGTAGTGGGGAGCACAACGGGTGGGGGGGGTGGGCTTTAAAAGTAGTAGAAGCAGTGAGAATAAACGAGGCAGGGTCTGGAGCAAGGGGAGGGAGCCTCAGGAGACCACACCTTTCCCCAGTTTGATATCTGTACCTTTCTCTCTTCAAACAGTAGAACTTATAGTCGAAGCTTCACTAGAAGCCTGTCCTCCAGAAGCTACTGCTGGTCTAGGTGCGTATCGGAGACTGCTCTGTTTGTTGCGGGCGATATTTCCGTCCACTCGTGTCCAGGGGAATGAGGTTCACCGAGTGCGACCGGGACAGTGTGTTTTGGGGGATAATGCCAGATCCAGGTAGTCAGGGCTTCTCAATGAAATGCAAAGGTTCTGACGAAAGGTCCTTGACCTGGAACGTTAAGTCAATTCTTCCCCCTCGCCCCGGACCTGCTGCCTGGTCCCAGCGACTTCTGTGCGGACATCAACAGAAAATAATCGCCAGTTCTTTATCCTGATTTGAAGTCAGGAGGCACCTTTTTCACGCAAAGGGTTGGAACCGAAGGAAACCTCTCCCTCCCCGAAACGGCTGTGGATTACGGCTGGTTCCGTGGAAATTGAAATGCTTGAGGCTGAGCTGGACTGACACTTGTTAGGTCAGGATATCGAGGGACACGGAGCAAAGGCAGGTAATTGGAGTTGAGGTACAGATCAGCCATGATCTAATGGAATGGAGAACGGACTCGAGGGTCTGAATGGCCTCCTCCTGTTCCTGTGTTTCTATTTATCTTCCCCCTCAACTTCCCAAATTTTATTCCCAAACCCACATCAGTCGGCTGCTTGTCTGCGCCTCCGTCACAGGCACGGATTAGCTGCCACGTTTGCTTAGTACCCAAACTCACTTTGTTTCTGATCGAGTTTACGAGCGAGTTGCTGGGCGGGTCCTCGAAGGCAAGTTACCCAGGTCTCAGCCGGTCTCGACTCACCAGCAGTTACCTCCCAAACGCACAGCACACTCTGGGGTCCCGTTTCCACCCACAGCCCCCCCCTCCCCCCCCCCCCCAACACACACAAACACATACACACAAGCCAAGCCTCAGCTCTTGCCAGCCTGTGCCTGATACTGCCTGGAATTAGGTAAGCAGGGGATCGAGAGAGCGACGTGGAGCTGCGATGGTGGGGGGGGGGGGGGCGGGGGGTATAAATGCAGAAAAAAATCTGCGGAAATCCTACTTCAGTGAGCGAGTAGTAAACGTATGGAACGGTCCCTCGGGCGACAGACAGACAGACGGACGGACGGCGAAATTTGTTTCAAGGACAAATGAGATCGATTTCTGCTCGAAAGTAATATGTGGGGGGGCTACAGGGGATAGTTTGGGGGCACGGCGTGTCGGGCTGGTGGAAGGTGAACTTGCTGGATCTTGGTTTTGTTTCGCCAGCAAATTCTTAGGTTCTTATGACCACTGAGCGGTGGTTGGTTTCTGTGGGTGTGTGTGTGAGTGTAGGTGCGTGTGTGTGTATGGGTGTGCGTGTGTGGGCGTGTGTATGGGGGTGGGGATGTGTGGGTGTAGCTGTGTGTGGGTGTAGCTGTGTGTAGCTGTGTGTGGGTGTATGGGGGTAGGTGTGTGGGTGGGTGTAGGGGTGTGTGGGTGTAGGTGTGTGTGTGGGTGTAGGTGTGTGTCGGTGTGAGTGTGGGTGTATGGGGGTGAGTGTGTGTGTGGGTAGGTGTGGGTGTAGCTGTGTGTGGGTGTGTGTGTGGGTCACTCTGCGGCTGATGTGAACGTTTGGAGGAGGAGGAGGACTGTGGGGTATTAATGCTGTGACTTTTTTTGGACTCAGGTCCGACTCCTACGATTCCTACGACAGCAGGAGCCGGAATCACCACAAGTCACGAAGGTCCAGGTAACAGATCCAGGCCCTCGGGGGTCTTGCTCCGTTCACCCCCCCACCCCCCGACCTCCCAACCCCAAATCAGCCTGTCCGCTCCCTCCCTCCTGCTTCGGGACCCCCGCACTTCTTCCCCCACCTTTGCCACTCAGGCATTCAGGCTCTCTGCCCCCGCACTCCGGAACTCTATCCCGCAATCCCTCGGCCTCACCCCCTCTCTCGCCTCCTTCCAGTCCCGTCTAAAGACCTTCCTCTTCGCCCGCTCCTTCGGGCCGCGCCCCCCCCCCCCCCCCCCCCCCGCCCTCCTGACCCAGCTCGGTTCCCCCGTCTAAAGACCTTCCTCTTCGGTCAGTTCGCTTTGAAACGTCACAAAGACGTGATGAGGCGCTATCTCAATCGCAAGGATTATTATTATAATTATTATTATTATTATTATTTTCTCTCCAGAAGCAGAAGCCGGAGCTACCGATCTTACCGTTCGTACAGCCGGAGTGAACGGAGTTATTCCCGCCATCGGAGCCACAGTGAGAGCAGCAGATACAGCTGATGAAGCATAAGTCCCTTGATTTTTTTTCCCCCACCCCCATCCCACCCCCCCACCACCCCCCCTTTTCGTGTGGGGTTTTTTTTTTGCGTGTGCGCGCGGGAAAAGACTTTCTGCACAGATTCACATCTTTATTTATTGAAGGGCTGACGGGTCCGAAGCCATCGCTTTGACCACCTGCGTTTCAAGCGACAAAAAAAAAGAAACGTGCGGCAGAAATAAATACTTTATCAAAAAGATATTATTTTCTTCGTTCCCCGAACCCCACACTTTTCTTTTTCCACCCCCCCCCCCCCCCCCAAATATAATGGACATCGACCCTACTCTCTTCGGCGTTTCTTACCCGGAGAGAAAATGCAATTTGTATCTGCGTTTTTGTAAGCAAGCAATAAAATTTACATTTAATAGGTACTGTACTTAACTGCGTTCTTCTGTCGTAGTTGAATGAGAAGGCGAAAATTTTCATACGTTAGATTTGCCCTATGTTAAGTTTTTTTGTGTTCAGTTTACCCCCACCCGCCCTTACTCCCCTCCCCTCCTCAATACCCCCCCTTCCCCCCCCCCCCCCCCCCACGCCCTCCCTGTTTTTAGAGGGTCCATATTAAAAGGTTTAAAATGTATTGAAAGACGAGCCATTGTTGAAATGGCCGATTGCTTTGTGTGTGTATATTACACATATTAAACACCTCGTAAACTGTGGTCTGTTGTTCGTGCTTCAGTCTGTGGGCAATGCGGTGTGCGGCGAGTGCTCTGAACTTGGCGGCTCCACCCCCGAGGAGGCCGATTCAGCTCCCAACTGGGACCCCCCCCCCGGTTTACCTCCCACTCCGTGGCGAATAATAATAATAATAATAATAATCCCGGCGTTTGACACGGCGCCTGATCACGTCGCTGACACGTCTCAAAGCGCTTCACGGGATGCACCGTAAAGTGGATTGACTGTGTACTTTGTGGGCGAAACGCGGCAGCCGAGCAAAAGCGATCCGCCAATCGACTAACAAACCGGGTTCCTACTTACCGTGAGGTAAACGGAGGCGCGTGTGCGTGTGTGCGTGTGCGTGTGTGTGTGGAGTGAGGAAACTTGCCTAAGGTTTTGCTCTGCCCAGAATCAAGCCCAGGTTTTCTCGCTCGCGAGGCGAGGGCTCTAACCACTGAGCTACTGAACTCCCGATAGTCACAAGTGATGAGCAACAACTTGCATTTTACATAGGGCCCCTCGAGCAACATTGACGTCCCACTTTAACCAGCGACACTGAGATGCTCTCACTAATCCACTAGAGGGAACAGGCGCAGAGGAGCTCGTAACCATCCGGTCGGTGTGGTGTCCCTGGCGCTAAGGAATAAAGTATTAATTAATAATCCTTCCATTCGATATAGCGCCTTATCACGTCTTGTACGTGTGCGCGTGTGTCTGTGTGTGTTCTCTGTGCGGTGCGGTCTCTGCGGGTACGTGTGTCCATCTTTGTGTGCACACGTGCGCTCTGCCTGCGTATGGATTTTCCGTTTTCTCTCTGTGTGTAATATGTCTGCGGGTGTGGGTGTGTGTGTGTGTGTGTGTGCGCTCTCTTTGAGTCCGCGTGTTTTCTTTGCGTCAGTATATGTGTATTTTATGTGTGTGTGTGTGTGTGTGAGTGTCAATAGACTGAAATAAACACAATTATTTGCACTTTCTCAGATAAAGTGAAAGTTTCCAAAATATGAACGAGAAAATTGACCCAACTTCCGACTGAGAGACGTTTAACGCTGTCACAGCAGTTCGGACACTCAATCCACGACGGTTTGTGGAGACGCCGCTGTGTGCAATTGGCCGCCGCGTTTCGCCCACAAAATACACAGACAATGTACAGTATGTTCTGTGAAGTGCGGTAAAACATCTCAACGACGTGATAAGGTTCTATTCTCGTAGTAGTCCCGTAACCAGAGGTGTGTGGAGTAAGTAAACTTGCCGAAGCTCTCGCCCTGCCCCGGAATCCAATCCAGGTCCTAAGCCTCGCGAGGCGAGTGCTCTAACCAATACGCTACAGGAGTCCATGGATAAGGCGCTATATCAAGCGCAAGGATTATTATTGTTAACAGCCCCCCCCGGGGAAGCAGAGAATATTATTTGTTTCAAGAACAAATTAGATAGATTGCTGCTAGAAAATAATATCTGGGGTTACAGTATATATATACAGTACATGTCAAGCGACTGCCAAGATGGTGGAAGGCGAACTAGAACTGGAGTCCCTGGAGCTCAGGGGTTAGAGCTCTCGCCTCGCGAGCGAGAGGTCCCGGGTTTGATTCCCGGGCAGGTCGGAGTGAAACGTTGGGTAAGTTTCCTCACTCCACACACACACACACACACACACACACACCACACACACACACACACGCGCGCCTCTGTTTACCAGCAGTCGGCAGGAACCCGGTTGTTGGTCGATTGGCGGATCAGTTTTCTGAGGGTAATAATTCCTTTGAAAAAAAATAATAATAATAAATTGGTCCCTTAATCCAGGACTCTTTGTGGGGACGCTGCTGTACACAGTTGGTTTCTCCCACAAAAATATGCAGTCAATTCGCTTTACAGTATATTCTGTGAAGCGCTTTGACGGGTCTCGAAGATGTGATGAGGCGCTGTGTCAGACGTAAGGATTGTTAGTATTATAGATGGACCTTAGTCTTCTTTCGTCGGCAAAACAAGCGCTGAGTGTGTGTGTGAGTGAGTGTGAGAGAATGAGTGAGCGTGAGTGAGTATGTGAGTGTGCGTGATTGAGTGAGTGAGTGTGAGTGAGTGTGAGCATGAGTGAGTAGTGAGAGTGAGTGAGTGAGTGAGTGTGAGTATGAGTGAGAATGAGAGCGAGTGTGTGAGTAGTGAGTATGAGTAGTGAGTGTAAGTAGAGTGAGTGAGTGTGTAAGTATGAGAGTGAGTATGTGAATATGAGAGTATGTGAGTAGTGAGAATGAGTAATGAGTGTGAGTGAGTGAGTGTGTGAGTGAGAGTGAGTGTGTGTGTGAGAGTGTGTGAGTGAGTGAGTGTGTGTGAGTGAGTGAATGAGTGAGTGTGTGAGTGAGTGAGTGAGAGTGAATGAGTGAGTGAGTGTGTGAGAGTGAGTGAGTGAGAGTGTGTGAGTGAGTGAGAGTGAGTGAGTGAGCGTGTGAGTGAGAGTGAGTGTGTGAGTGAGTGAGAGAGTAAATGAGAGAGTGAGTGAGTGAGTGAGTGTGAGTGAGAGAGAGTGAGTGTGTGAGTAAGTGAGAGTGAGTGTGTGAGTGAGAGTGAGTGTGTGAGTGAGTGAGAGAGTGAATGAGTGAGTAAGTGAGAGGGAGTGAGAGTGAGAGTGAGTGAGTGTGTGAGTGAGAGTGTGTGAGTGAGAGTGAGTGAGTGAGTGAGTGTGAGTGAGTGAGTGAGAGTGAGTGAGTGAGTGAGTGAGAGTGTGAGTGAGAGTGAGTGAGAGAGTGAGTGAGAGTGAGTGAGTGAGTGAGTGAGTGTGAGTGAGAGAGGGTGAGTGAGAGAGTGAGTGTGAGTGAGTGTGTGAGTGAGAGTGAGAGAGTGAGTGAGAGTGTGAGTGAGAGTGAGTGAGAGAGGGTGAGAGTGAGTGAGTGAGAGAGGGTGAGAGTGAGTGAGTGAGAGAGAGAGAGTGAGAGAGGGTGAGAGTGAGTGAGTGAGTGTGTGAGTGAGTGAGTGTGAGTGAGAGAGTGAGTGAGTGTGAGTGAGTGAGAGAGGGTGAGAGTGAGAGTGAGTGAGTGAGAGAGAGAGAGAGAGTGAGTGAGTGAGTGAGTGAGTGAGAGAGGGTGAGAGTGAGTGAGTGAGAGAGGGTGAGAGTGAGTGAGTGAGTGAGAGAGAGAGAGAGAAAGAGTGAGTGTGAGTGAGTGAGAGAGTGAGTGTGAGTGAGTGAGAGAGGGTGAGAGTGAGTGAGTGAGTGAGGGTGAGTGTGAGTGAGTGAGTGAGAGTGAGTGAGTGAGTGAGTGAGTGTGAGTGAGTGAGTGAGTGAGTGAGTGTGAGTGAGTGAGTGAGTGAGTGAGTGTGAGTGAGTGAGTGAGAGAGAGAGAGAGAGAGAGTGAGTGAGTGAGTGAGTGAGTGAGAGAGGGTGAGAGTGAGTGAGTGAGTGAGAGAGGGTGAGAGTGAGTGAGTGTGAGTGAGTGAGTGAGTGAGTGAGTGAGTGAGTGAGTGAGAGAGTGAGTGAGAGTGAGTGAGTGAGAGTGAGTGAGTGAGTGAGAGAGAGAGAGTGAGAGAGAGAGAGTGAGTGAGTGTGTGAGTGAGAGAGAGTGAGTGAGTGAGAGAGTGAGTGAGTGAGTGTGTGAGTGAGAGAGAGAGAGTGAGTGAGTGAGAGTGAGAGGGTGAGAGTGAGTGAGTGAGAGAGAGAGAGTGAGAGTGAGTGAGTGAGTGAGAGTGAGTGAGTGAGTGAGAGAGAGAGAGTGAGTGAGTGAGAGTGAGTGAGTGTGAGAGTGAGTGAGTGTGTGAGTGAGTGAGTGAGTGAGAGAGAGAGAGTGAGTGAGTGAGAGTGAGAGGGTGAGAGTGAGCACAGTGAGGGGCAGAGCCTCTGTAACCGCACTCCGTCCCTCCCGGAGTTTGGAGATTGGCGTTTAAAGGGCTCCACATGAACAATGCGGAAATGAAGTCTCCAAAACTTTGGTGGAAAGTTTAGGTACAAAGGTTCTGACAAACAAAGACCAGAGGCAGTGATTCCCTGAGTTCATCTTTACCCCCAAACCCCACTCTATCTCTCTCTCTCTTTACCCCCTGAACCCCCAAACCTCTCCCCCCCTCTGGCAGGTGGTGGGGGGGACAGACACTACATGAGTTGCACTGAAACCCCCTCTCTCTCTCGGGGTTGTGGTCCCCCCTCAGGTGGGTAAGTCTCTGCATTTTTTTCTCTCTGCAATTAATTAATTGATATATATATGTGTATAAAATAATGCATTTATATATTTTGCAAATTGTTGTTCCCCTTTTTTCCTCCCCCCCTCCCCTCTCCCTCCCCCCTCCCCCCTCCCCCCCTCCACTCCCCCTCCCCCCCTCCCTCCCCCTCACCCCTCCCTCCCCTCACCCCTCCCTCCCCCTCCCAAACACACACACTTCATTGTAAACTTGACTTTTTGCATAAGTGCACAGTCTATCGTGTAATTATGGGGGAGAGAAGGGGGGGAGAGACTGGGGGGGAGGGGGGAGAGAGTGGAGGGGTGGGAGAGAGGTGGGGGGGAGAGACTGGAGGGAGGGGGAGAGTGTGGAGGGGGTGGGAGAGAGGTGGGGGGGAGAGAGTGGGGGGGAGGTAGGGGGGAAGAGACTGGAGAGGAGGGGGGGAGAGAGAGTGGGGGGGGAGAGTGGGTGGGGAGAGAGATTGGGGGGGGAGGGGGGGGGGAGAGAGTGGGGGGGGAGAGTGGTGGGGGAGGAGAGATGGGGGGGGAGAGAGGGGTGGGAGAGAGTGGGGGGGGGGAGAGTGGGGGGGGAGGAGAGATTGGGGGGGGGAGAGAGTGGGGGGGGAGAGAGTGGGGGGGAGGAGAGATTGGGGGGGGGGGGAGAGAGTGGGGGGGAGAGAGTGGGGGGGAGAGAGTGGGGGGAGAGAGTGTGGGGGGGGAGAGAGAGTGTGGGGGGGAGAGAGAGTGTGGGGGGGAGAGAGAGTGTGGGGGGAGAGAGAGAGTGGGAGGGGAGAGAGAGTTGGGGGGGAGAGAGAGTTGGGGGGGAGAGAGGGGGGAGAGAAGGGGGGGAGAGAGAGAGGGTGGGGTGGGGGGGGGGGTGGGGAAGGATTTGCCATTGCTGTGTTCCTGTGTATGTTGTCTGTGGAGGATTTATTCTGTGGCCTCAGTTTGAGGGGTGCGGACGGGGTTAACCCCCACTGTCAGGACCGCAGCCATTTCCAGTTCCCCTCCTCTCCTCTCCTCGGTGTCCGCGTCGTATTTTTAAACCCTTTTTAAGAAAACATGTCTGCAAACGTAACTTACCCGGGGGGCGGGGGCCTCCTCAACAAATACAACTTTCCTTTTCCTCTCGTTTTCCCTCACCCTTTGCCCACAAATCCTTTCGGGGCCCCAGAGCCTCACCGACCCACTCATACCCCACGCTTTCTGGGGTTAATAAGCCCTATATATATATATACATATATACATATATACATATATATACATATATATATATATGTGTGTGTGTGTGAAAGAGATAATTGGGTCACTCCGTCCACGGCTGTTTGTGGGGGGGGGTGGGGGGGGGGGAGACGCTGCCCGCCCGCGAAATATACAGTCACTGCACTTCACGGTGTGTTCTGCGAAGCGCTTTGAGGCGTTTCAGCCACGTGACCAGGCGCCGATCCGAAGGCGAGGATTATTATCATTACTATTATTATTATTATTATTATTATTATTATTATTACTATCGCTGTGTGAAGCTCTCGGTACGTTGGAGTCTCCTTTCCAGCACGAAGGGGAATTAGACGGAGCTTTGCGGCGGGGAGTCAGGCCATTCGTGCCCCGACTCGTGGGTCCAAGCTCCGTGTTGACCTCTACCCCTCCTAATCCGCCCGCCCCCGTACTCCTCTGCTCCCTTTCCCGCGTGATCGCCTCGAGGGTCAGGGCCTGGCCCAGTTGCGAGCACGCGCTCCGGGTCGGAAGCTTGTGGGGGTTCGAGCCCCGCTTAGGGTACTCGGAATCACGCGGTGCTAAGTTGCACCCCTTCTCGCCGGGAAACCGACGCTCCAACACAGCTGCTCGAAATCCAAAAAAAAAAGAGGAGAGGAGAGAGGGGGTTCCGGGCCAACAGTGAATCGCCCCCCGAATGATAACTCGCCGTTTGCTTCGTGTCCGGCTGTGGGACACGGCCGAATGCAAATGGGGGTCCGCGTTTGCCTGCAAGACGCGCGCGCGGTCGCGGTCCTGGACCGCGAGTCCCCGGCAAAGCGTTTCGAGACCGTTTGGAAGCTGTCGGCCCAGTTTTTAAGTGGTTTCTTAAACCTTGGTTCCCGGGGCACGTCCGCCCGGCGTGAACGGCGCCTCCAATAAATGCCACTTGTCCGTGTTGTTTCTGACAACGACCGTACATGTGTCTGTGGCGTGACAGCGTGGCTCAGTCGGTAGCGTGCGCTCTCTCTCCTCTCCCTCTCTCTCCTCTCTCTCTCTCTCTCATTCGCCTCCCGAGACAGGAGGTCGTGGGTTCGAGCCCGAGGAACGGTCCGCCGCCCGAACTGACACTCCACTGTGTCCCGACCAACGATTCTCCTCCCTCTGACCGTGCGCGGGGCGCGCCGCCGGGCGCGATCGGCCGCTGCGACGCTCCACCCGGCAGCGTACCCGGCGTCCCCTCTTTGGAGAGACGTCTCGACGACGTGAGATGCCGGGGATCGTTACTATTAGCGCTAAACACACGGGGGTCCGCGTTTAAAGAGCCGGCGCTCGGGGAGAGAGGGACAGAAGATCAGACCTGCAAACTGAGACGTTAAGCATCTTTCTCTCCCTCTCTCTCCCTCTCTCTCCTCTCTCTCCTTCTCTCTCTCCCTCTCTCTCTCTCTGATACCCTGGTTGGCAAAGTTGCTTTGCGTTATTTTGAGTGCTGCATTGTAATGGGAGAGGAGAGAGGTTGATCATAGCAGGAAAGGAAGGAAGGAAGGAAGAAAGAAGGAAGGAGAAAGACATCAGAGGGAGAGAGAAAGAGAGAGAGAGAGAGAGAGGGGGAGAAAGAGAGAGAGAGAGAGAGGCATTTAAATCCAGACAAGTCTCATATGATCAGAAAGACCCAATCAGCAATTGCTGTGTGCAAAGCCCCCCTTATGTCAGTTTGGACCCCCCCCCCCTCCCTTTTTCTCTCTCTCTCTTTTCTCTCTCTCTCTCTTTCTGTCTGTCTGTCTCTCTCTCTCTTTCTCTCTCTCTTTCTCTCTCCCCATTTTCCTCGTGTGAACATGGCGTTGAATGCAATGGGCAGAGGAGGTGTTTGACCAGGACCAGGACCCCAGGACCAGGACCAGGACCCCAGGACCAGGACCCCAGGACCAGGACCAGGACCCCAGGACCAGGACCTTCCTCTTATGGAGATCTCAACTTTTCTTGACGTCCCTTTGGTTTTGCAAAAGTGCATTGGAAGAGGAGAGAAGGGACAGTGGGTTTTGGTGGTGTTGTTGCACCTCTTCTCACTGGGAAACTGGGCATCAAAATGGTATTTAAACCTTTCACATCCCCTCTCCCACCACAAACCTCCTCCTCCCTCTCTTTTTTCTTGCTACTTATACTGTATATATATAGATTCTCTCTCTATCTCTATCTGTCTCTCTCTCTATCTCTATCTCTCTCTCTCTACCTGTGTCTCTATCTCTATCTGTGTCTCTCCTCTCTATCTGTGTCTCTCTCTCTATCTCTATCTGTGTCTCTCTCTCTATCTCTATCTGTGTCTCTCTCTCTATCTCTATCTGTGTCTCTATCTCTATCTGTGTCTCTCTCTCTATCTCTATCTCTATCTGTGTGTCTCTCTCTATCTCTATCTGTGTCTCTCTCTCCTCTCTCTCTCTATCTGTCTCTCTCTATCTGTGTCTCTCTCTCTATCTCTATCAGTGTCTCTCTCTATCTGTCTCTCTCTCTCTCTCCCCCACATCCTCCCCCCCTCCCCCCCCTCCCCCCCTCCCCAATTATTCTGTACATCTCTGTGTGTTCAAAAAGTTCCCTATTTTGGAGGGGATGAGGGGAGTGGAGGGGGTGAGGGGGAGTGGAGGAGGGGAGTGGGGGTGAGGGGGAGTGGAGGGGGTGAGGGGGAGTGGGGGTGAGGGGGGAGTGGAGGGGGAGTGGGGGTGAGAGAGGGGGAGTGGAGGGGGTGAGGGGGGAATGGGGGGAGTGGAGGGGATTGATTTATTTTTAAATCCCCGCAGTCTGTCAGGTTTCGGGGGCACTGTGAGTGCAGAGTTTCAGCGCAGAAATGGTTAAAGGACTGTGGATGGATTTCGGTTTTATTTATCAAAATATAAGAGGATTTTCCCTGCAGTGCGGATTTGGCGGTGTCTGTGTGTGTTGTGTTTGTGTGCGTGTGTTTTGTACATGTGTGTATGTGTATGTTTTGTACATGTGTGTATGTGTATGTTTTGTACATGTGTGTATGTATGTATATTGTGTCTGTGTTTTTTCTGTGTGTGTGTGTTTTGTGTATGTGTTGTATGTCTGTGTTTGTGTGTTGTGTGTATGTGTGTGTGTATTGTATGTCTGTGTTTGTGTGTGTTTTGTCTGTGTGTTTGTGTGTTGTGTATATGTGTGTGTGTGTTGTATGTCTGTGTTTGTGTGTGTTTTGTCTGTGTGTGTGTGTGTGTTTTGTGTATGTGTGTCTGTGTGTGTTTGTGTGTGTTTTGTCTGTGTGTTTGTGTGTTGTGTGTATGTGTGTTGTGTATATGTTGTGTGTATGTGTGTATGTTTGTGTGTTGTGTGTATGTGTGTGTGTTGTGTGTCTGCGTGTGTGCGTATATTGTGTGTGTATTTGGGGAGAGATTTATACATTGCAATCTTCACATCTCCTGCTGTTATGGAGAGATTGGCTGACCTGTGTGTGTGTGTGTGTGTATACATATATACACACACACACACATATATATATATATATATATGGAGAGAGAGAGAGAGAGAGGGAGTGTATCCCCACAACAATGGAGCGAGGCCGGTAACAAAAGAGTTAAAATTCCTGAGGATTTCAGATCCTAAGGCTTCTGAGAGAATGGCCGGGTCGCTCGCCCTGATTTGTAACACAAGTTGATGTACCTTTTGTTTTATATCTAGTCTCTCTCTCTCTCTATATATATATATATATATGTGTGTATATATAAATTATAAATGCATGTGACATTTTTTTGTGGTGCGAAAATCTGGTGCAGCCAATTTATTGAAATGGACACGATTGCAATCTGGCTGCCAGACAGTTACTTTATATATATATAGATAGAGAGAGAGAGAGAGAGAGAGGGCGAGAGTTATAGAGAGATGGGGGGAGGAGGAGGGATGAAGAGGAAGAGAGATTGCGTATTAAATGCAATGTTATAGCCCCTCTCTCCCTCCCTCCCTCCCTCTCTCTGTTATTTGTGCAAATGGCAATGCGCATTGATGGGTATTGTACCGCGATCCCTCCCTCTCTGAGCTGTGTGTGTGTGTCTGTCTCTCTCTCTGTGCATCTCTTGTATTGGAGCTGTGTGTGTGTGTGTGTTGTGCGTGTCGGTCTGTATTGGAGCTGTGTGTGTGTGTGCATGTGTGTGTTGTGTGTGTGTGTGTGTTATGTGTGTGCGTGTCTCTGTATTGGAGCTGAGTGTGTGTGTGAGTGTGTGTGTGTGTTGTGCGTGTCGGTCTGTATTGGAGCTGTGTGTGTGTGTGCGTGTGTTATGTGTGTGTGTGTGTCTCTGTATTGGAGCTGTGTGTGTGTGTGTGCGTGTGTTATGTGTGTGCGTGTCTCTGTATTGGAGCTGTGTGTGTGTGTGCGTGTGTTATGTGTGTGCGTGTCTCTGTGTTGGAGCTGAGTGTGTATGCATATGTCTCTCTGTGTCTGTCTCTGTATTGGAGCTGTGTGTATATCTCTGTGTCTCTCTGTGTCGCTCTCTCTGTATTGGAGCGGTCTCCGTCTCTCTGTCTGTGTGCATTGCTGCGGATTAATGTTTAGCTGAGCCAACGCCATTTCAATGCCCTTGTCTCCCTTCCCCCAACCTCGATTGACTCGAGAGGAACAGAAACGGTTAAAGAGACAACAGTGCTTCCCTTGGCCTGCCTTGGGTTATGTTAAACCCAGCCTGGCGTTCCCTGTTATGCAGTATTTGCAGGCGCGCGAGTGTCAGTGTGTGGACACACATAGCAGTAACACAGGCCTGCGTGTTAAATTGTGTGTAAATCCACTTATTGCTGTGAATTTCTGTCACTGATTCCCCGCCGTGTCCCTCTCCGAATCTTATTTTTGTAATTGACTTTGATTTGTTACCACGAAACACGTTTGGTTTGGTTAAAAAATATATATATATACTGTGCGTGTGTGTGTGTGTATATATATATATATAAAAATAAGACTTGGACAAAAGAACCAGAGTGGGGATTTGGGAACGAGGAGAAATTATTCTACCCGGAGAGTTGTTACGCTCTGGAACTTGACCGCCCGAAAGGGGCGGTGGAAGGAGATTCGATCATAACTTTCAAAAGGGAATTGGATAGGGACTCGAAAAGAAAAAAATAAATTATTTTTTAATTGCGGGGCAGGTTGGATAGCTCTTTCAAAGAGTCGCGTTGGCCCGAATGGCCTCCTTCTGAGCTGTAATATGCTATGATTCTACGTTGTGTGGTGTGTGTGGGCTCTTCAACGCGTCTGTATTCTGATGCCTTTAAGATGTGGAGCAGTCGGTGTTCTGTATTGTCGGCTTGACGGGGTCGATCACAATCTCGTCTCCAGGGCACAATGTTTTGAGGGGCACAATTTTTGGGGGGCGGGAGGGGAGGGGAGGGGAGGGGGCTGTGGCTTTGAGCGCAGGACTGGGGACATTGAGGTCACAGTCTAGGTTGCGTTAGGAGAGCGAGAGAGAGGGAACTGGATCGCCAGACATGTCGTCCTTTGAATAACGATGATAATAATAATAATAATCCTTGCATTTGACATAGCTCCTTATTGTGTCATTGAGGAGCCTCAAAGGGGCTTCACGTCATATATTGTAAAGTGCAGTGACTGTGTATTTTGTGGGCGAAATGCGACAACCAGTTTGCGCACAGCAGCGTCCCCACAAACAGCCACGGAGCGAGCGACCGATTTTATTTGCGGGATTGTTGGCCGGGACACCGGGAGAGAGAGCGAGAGAAAGAGAGAGAGAGAAATGCCCTCTTCTTTTCCAATAGCGCCGCCTGAACAGGTAGACGGGACCTCAGTTTAATGTCTTATCTGAAAGACCTCCGACAGTGCAACGCACACACGCACACGCATGCGCACGCACACACACACACACACACAGAGCGCTGCGTTGGAGCATCGGCTTAGCTGCGTGACCCCAATTCCTGACGTGGGGGGCTTGAACCCGCAACCTTCTGACTCAGAGGCGGAAGCGCTACCGCTGAGCCAGGCCGACACATGCATGGATGAGACGTTAAACCAATGGCGGTTGGGGTGGTGGGTCCAGGCCAGCGTTTCCTCGGATAAATTGGCTGTTCGTGGCAACCTGCTGTGTGCAAACTGCCTGCCATGTTTGCCCGCGTTCCATATATAGCGCTTTGAGATGTTATTACCCCCCCCACACCCCGCCGCCCCCCCACCCATTCCACTCCGCCATCCGCTGCCTCCCCTCGGCCAGCTCCAGCCTCCTGTTAGACCCTCAATCCCTCCGCCTTCCTCCCTCCCTCCCCACTTTCAAATCCTACCTAAAGACCTTGCTTTTTGACCGTGCTTACAGTCACCTCTCTCCCCCACCCACCCCCGCCCCGCCCGCACCTCCGCACCAGGGTGACACATTGCTTCGAGACATCTCGATGAGGTGGTGAGGCGCTGTATCAAGTTTAAGAATTCTTCATCGTTATTATGAAAAGAGGAGGGTCCCTTTGGCCTGTTGGGTTGTGTCAAGTGGATGTTAATGATCCCGAGACACAGTTTGTTTAGATGAAGAGATGCTTCCTGACCAAAGTTTCTCCCTGTGTCCTGGCCAGAGTACCTCCCCCGTCCACAATCACCGACAGATTAAAAATCTGCTGTCGTTTCTGTTGCTGTCTGCGAGACACGTTTGCAATAACCAACGGGGGGATTTGATCCAGCGCCTCCCAGGGAACCGCCGTCGAGTGCAGTGACTGTGTGTTTTGTGGGCGCACGCACGTCCCACAAACAGCCACGGCCAGTTTTATCCGGGGAGCGTTGGCCGTTGACGCTACAAGAAAAATCCCTTTTTCTTTTCGAATAGTGCACGGGATAGCTTTCACCCTTCCCTGACACTGTACTGGAATGTCAGCCGAAGAATTAATAATAATAATCCTTGCATTTGATGTAGGGTCAACTTAGACTGTAGCTCTTTCGCCTCTTGAGTCAGAAGGTTGTGGGTTCAAGCCCCATGTCAGGACTTGGGGGTTGGGGGGGGGGGGATCACACAGTCTTATCACATGGTTGAGATGTCTCAAAGCACTTCACAGAATAGACTATAAAGTGGAAACAAATCGCGTAACATAAAGTGGATTGGCTGTGTG